CGGTGAAGTTTCTGTTTGTTTTTTGTTTTGTTTTGTTTTGTTTTTCTGGGTTTTTAAAATTGTTTTTAGAATCCCAAACATTTATTTCTCCATTTAGTTGAGCAATGGAAATATAACATGAAAGGTTTCTTCATTGAGTGAGCAACAGGAACACAGGTTGACGAGCAAAAAAAAATGACATACATGTACATACATGTATTAACAGTTTATTACATTATCTCGATGATACTAGAACCAGCATAGTAACAATAATTATAACAATTTTGTAAAAATTAAGATAATGTTCAAGATATGATAAAGTATTTAATTATAAGAATTATAAGAAAATACAGGTGGATAAAGGAAAATAAAAAAAACTCATAATAAAAACAAATGACATAGAAATAATAAAGTAAATGATGATGATGTTGGTGGTGCTGTTGGTGCTGTTGATGCTGCTGCTGCTGCTGCTGATGATGATGATGATGATGATGATGATGATGATGATGATGATGATGATGATGATGATGATGATGAGTATGAAGATGACGATGAAAATTTTTAAATATTATAATCGTAATAATAGTATTAATAGCTAAAATCAACAAAGTTTAAAAAGTAACAAATGAGACATATCATCATTGGACAAAATATTCGAACCGATCATCCAAGAATGTAAACTCTCTGACACTCGTAAGTCAGTGCACAATCAGACCATTCACATCATGTGAATATATAATAATCATAAACAGACACGCTTTGAAATCCCTAGATTATGCAGTTTCATCGGTGAACGCTGACATTGTATCAATTCTCTGAACCCCCCCCCCATACACACACTCACACGAAAAAAAAAGACAGAAAGAAAAAACACCCCGTATAGACGCTTTAAAGTTTAAGGTCCTAACGAGCGAATGGGACAGAAGTTTTCACCGATTTGATACTCCACGTTTTTCTTTTTTTTAATTATTTATTTATTCATTTTCATTTATTGATCTCTATTTTCAATTTAATTGTTTTATTTCTTTTTTAAAATTTTTATTACTATTATTATTATTATTTGTTTTTTGTTGTTGTTGTTTGTTTTTGTTTTTTTTGGGGGGTAATTTTTGTTTAAACTATCAAAAAGATGAACTGAAGTGAGAAAGAATCTAGAAATTTACTAACAATATCCAAGTAGTGCTTAATCTTTTGGATAACTAATTAGAGGTTTGATTAGAAAGGGGATACTTTATTGTGATATCGAATTTTTTAAAAGATATCACTGAGTTTGAAAAAGGAACAGGTCTTTGTTTAAAAGCCTGTGCACACCCACAGGTATATCAAGTGCTTTTCTTGTGTGTGTTTTTTTTTCTAAATTTTTATTTTATATTCAACAAAGTTTCACCCCCGAACTTTAGTGCTTAGTAAAAAAAATTCAAGTTTTTCAACAAAATGTATACAATGCAAGTTGGGTCAAAGACCTGAGACCTCTACAACACTAGATGTAGATTGTTTTTCTCTGGGTTACTCGAAGGTTGAAAGATATGTCGTTACCAAAAATACACCACCTATATTTTACCTAGGACGTTACTCGCAACTCAAAGCAAAGCAGAAATATCGTTGTCCTTGATAGGCTTAGTAAATGCGACATAGTTGACTCAAATGTTATACCAGTGCCTTTTTGAACGTTTAAGACCCACATGAACGCCGTCTAGACCCATTTAGGAGGCTAAGGGGTGGGGGTCATAAAGCATGTTAGAACGGAAATTATTTATGTATATAGAATTATAACATTTTCCCACAACACTCTGCTGGAGGAACATAAACTTAAACACTTAAGTGTATTATTGGCACAATATTATATTATGCAAGCTCTTTCGAACTATACGTCTCTCTCTCTCTCTCTCTCTCTCT